CGGTCATTATGTATGATGGAAGCAAATACAAAATAGGGGGGGTAGCATGGTGTTACAACCTGTGCCTGGTTGCAAAAAACACCTTAAGGTGATTTTTTCCTTCAGATGACACTTAAGCATTTCCTGAGGTTAAGTGTGTTGCACAAAAAACCTCTTAGGGTATTAATTAAGGGTGAAATCATCATACACACTTATATTTTCCACTTCCACTTATATGAAAGGTTGTTAGCAGCCATGCAATAATCCAACATATATCTTTGTTAAAAGAGAGATTTTTGCTAAACCCGCCTCCTTTGAAAGGGGAAGGGATTGACTGACATGTAAAACAGCCAACCAGAGTGAGTGATTTTACATGACAAGCGGTAGACGAATGCAGAGCTGGTCAACACGTTAAACATACACGCATGAATCAATTTATTTATTTACACTGACCGTATTAAAATGTCCATGAAACATTTTCAGCGGAGTTTTCAGCTGACGGTGGGAAATACTCTTCATGTTTATGTGCTCTGTGAGTTGGATGTCCTACCAGTGGAAGCCATTCTTTGCCGACGGTTAAACTAAGCATCTTGGCAGGAGTAACAGCTCATCGAAACTGATTTTAGGAGAGTCGGTTAGTTTCAGTATTTAGCTTGGCGAGCTGATGATCTTGAACGAATTCCCTTCGGTAAGGGAAAACCCTGCCTTAAGGTTCATTTTAAGGATAAAACTTGGTTAATGTAACAGGGCACTAGGCCTGGGCAATAGGGTGGCGTAACAGGATATTATCGATGATGGACAAGTAACCGATGGCGATGTACAAAAGGTGATAATCGCAGAGAATCAGAGAGGAGAGCAGAACAGCAGCTAAATTAACTCTAACCTGAAGAGAAAGTTCCTCTGATCCTCGTCTACGGCCGGTGTGCAGTATTTTCTGTACAGATTAAGTGTGGCTGTGGTTAGCTGAATTATGAAACTGCCGCTGTAACAACAGGAAGCACATAGCTTTGGAAATCACATGCAGCCTGAGGTTTCTCCAGCAGGGAGCACTATTAGCAAACAAATTCCTGCAAATCTGTGGCAGAAGAAGCTCAAGAACTCACGTGTTTACAGTAACATTTATTATAATGACGGATAAAGTAAAAGACATCGGGCTACTCAGTATCATTTTATTTAATATATGAGTTTTATTGATTTTCATTAAAACAGTTCATTTTAATATGGATATTATTGATAATGGTGATTTTTTAACTAGAAAATATCATGCTAACTAATTTTCGATATCACCCAGGCCTACCGGGCACTGGTTCTCAACATTCAAGTTGGCATTGATATTAATAATGATTGAACCCCAGTATTGGAAACTTTTGCATCTCTTTATATCACATTAAAGGGAGGCATACACAATATTAATCGACAGAAACTACATTTCCAGAAAGGATCGTTAATATTCACTCAGCTTTTTAATGCATTTTGACGTATTTAAACCAAATAAGTGACACAAATTGAAGTAAACTAACCTCCATAATCTACTGATGCCAATATCAGCAGAAATGCTGGACTGGATACTGGACAAAAAAAAACGAATGAATCTGATCTGAGCTTTTAAGAAATCTAGCCTGAAATAACACAGAGCTGCTTGTAGCAAAGTACCTCACATGATAACAACAGTAACTACGATACTGTCATTTATTAGTTTCCGAACCAAAATTATTTTTCAGTAAGTTTATTAACTTTTTTGTCATATGATCTTCAACCTGTGCTGACCAAGGTTTACCTGACGGCTTTTTATGTTTCAGATTTTCAGTAATTTTTTTATAAATACTTAAGCTTCGATCTAAAAACTGAAAACTACTGGAGGAGTCTGTTAGCCTGTTAGCTATCTGCTGTGCTAGTTGCTGTTAAAACTATGTTCTTATTCAAAAAGGACAAAATAATACACAATTTGCTACAGTTTTCCTCCAAATTATCCTAGTTTATTTTAAACAGTTTAACGTTTGCACATTTGCTCTGTAAGTGGTTCTGTTTTTTTTTCTGAACTTTTAAAAAGTTGCCTTGTTTTGTTGTTAGCTTAATATTTCTGTCTGTATATTATATAAAATATGAATATATAAAATATTCATTTTAAAGCTCAGTAGTTTTTAAAAAGAAATACTGGAAAAAGATATCAGAACCCCCCAAAAAAAAATGCTCTGGACAGTATAAATACCACAATACCACACAATACTACACAACACCACTATCTCCACTTGAAAAAAAAAAAAACAAAGCTCAGTATCGCCATAAAGAACTGTGCATTCTGCTCAGTGTTGACAGAGCCGTAGTGGTAACTGTAGTTTCAGGTCTCTAGGAAATTGCGCTGGACTCAAAACACTGCAGTCATTCTGAGAAAGGTGCAGCAACGTCTTCACTTCCTGAAGCATTCTCAAGCTCACATTCTTCTAGATTTCCTTTCTCTTCATAGTATTTTTTTCCAAATGAAGCAGTGCTATGTTGACAGTTTAACACTTTAACGGCTAAATGGTTTTGGAGAAGAAAATACTGGAATTACTGGAATAAATTTGGTGTATTATGACAAACTGTGAAAGTACAGTAATATTTCATTTTTAACTACAGCTCAGGACATGACTTCATCCATCTGAGTGAATGACTGCATTCTGTGTTTTGAAAGTCAGAATGACTAACTGATGACGGCCTCAGAACGCTTCAGTACTCTTAACGCGCACACACACACACACACACACACACACACACACACACACACACAAAGTGATCTGAACAGAGCTTTCCTCGACACACACACACAAAAGTAGAGTCCAAAACAGTCTGATATAATAAAGCAATAAGCTGTGAATTACAGCAATTTTACCACAGGGAAGGGTGTTGTTAGGCATATCATGTTGTGTATATTGTGGATTTTACAACGGCTTCAAACGCGGCTCAGCCAATCAGATTTTAGGACCGGAACTATCTCTTTTATTTAAAGCTCTTTTAAACCTGTTGAGGGTCACTGCTCCAGTTTTAATGCCAATCAATAAAAAGTTTAACATAAGTCATGATTTTTGCTGTAATTACTTTTGAAATAAAGTAATAATAAAACACCTTGCACACCTGCAGTCATACCTGTATACCTTCTAAAGATCTTAGGACTTCTGTGAGATCAATCCAGAAAACATTTTCACATTTAAAACACATCAGCAAATTGCAATCCGACAACTATATGATTATCAACCACACGATGGTTAAAAAACAATGCTAGGGGTTGCTCTTGGGGCTTTGACACCAGTTTAACCCCTATTATCTTTGAGGTCAATGTGACCCCATTCAATGTTTAATGTCTCCAAATAAAAAAGTGACTGACATCATTTTTTTCATTTCATAATTAATGATTTTTCTTAAAGTAATGGGGACAAACTGGGTAAACAGAACATTAACATGATGATGTTTTCACTGTTCTGCATACATTTTGTACACATTGTTCTTTGGGGTCAGTTTGACCTCAGGCTGTTTTAATTGTATAAAACATAAGAAATATCAGTGTATTACACACATTTGTTTGGGGTGTTTTGGATGATACTGATGACACTATAACATACAATTTTATAATCTTCAAAAATAAAAAAAAACAGACAATAAAAAACACTTTTCTCTGCTTTAACCTAACATAACCACATTCATAATAGTGTGAGAACCACTGATAGTTCACACCACATGGGGAGGGGAAAACAGAATTCCCACCAGAACTTTGATATTTCACAGAGGATTAAACTGCTGGTCAAACTGACCCTAAGAATAAAATATGTTAATAAATTTGAAGAAAACAGAAGAGTTTAAAGGTTCGTTCATGTCAGATGATACAGCAAGCTCTTCCTATCTAACGTGTGTGAATTTATGTAGCAAAAACGGTCATAATTCACTTTTGTATGAGCACTTACAACTAAACAAGCTGTTACTGTGCCTTTAAGATTAATATATCGCTGCTGTCGGAAGAAAACCTCGTATCTCCATTTTTGTCGTTTTTCAGTTTTTACCTGTTACCTGTTGGTCTTTACATTGTATGTAACGTTCATGATGAATGGACCACAAGAAACGGCCCAAAATGACTTGGAAAAAATTCTGGTTCCACTGACTTACATTAAAAGTAAAGTAGTTTTTTTCCTTCTCCTGTAAAGTTATCAATTTGGAGATTTGATATAGATTTTGGAGAACAAAGCAATATGTAAATGACATCTGTTCTGACTGGCTGCCCATTCTTGTGCCTCATTCAAAAAGCATTCCAGGTTGATCACATCACAAACACAACTTACTGGCAGTTTGATACACTACGTTCAGGGGTCGACTCTTAGAATCTTAATTTAAAAAAAAAAAATAAAAAAAAAAAACTCTATTTAAATTGAAGTCGCAATATTAATTGGAAAAATCGCAATTAGATATTTTCCATAAATCGTTCAGCCCTACTATCAAGTTACATTCAACTAAATATCGACTAAATTGACCGTAATTTTCTTTGACTCTAAACCTGCTCTAACCCTAACCTTAACCTCAACCCAAAAACCAACTCCAACCATAACCCTGGTCCAAATCCTAACCCTAACCCCACCACAGTTTAGAATCAACTGAGTTTCAACAGATAGTTTGTTAACAATATATATGTAGAAGATCTATAGGGGACTAAACTGGACTATCCAGACCAAAAAAGCTCATGACTTGAGACTAAAATCAGAGCTATTTGGATCTTCAGGCTCTTAAGACGCACACATTCCTCTCACTGTTCCTAGAAACCGCATTTGAGGGAAGAATCATTCGAGACGTACCAAAAGCTCCCTCACACGTGGTTTCATGTTTCAGTTTCTGGTGAGCGTCTCTCTAATGAAGAGCCCTGCTGACCTGCCTCTTCCTGTCAGGCTCTGCTCTTCAGGCTGCTCAGCTGAACTCCGGACCCTGACCTTCCCCTTCAGACTACACAGCTGAGGGTATTTGTGGACCGCCGTGGTGAGCTGGTGTAACATTCTGACACTCACCTTTTCCAGGTTTCCCAGTATGCACTTTGAGTGGCAGGTCTTGGCAAGCAGGGGCAGGGGTCGGCGGCATGACGTCTGACCCTAATCCCTCGTCAACTGGGCCTGCTGTTACTTCTCTTTGCAGGGGCTAGAAAGGAGATCAAAGGTCAAACGGAGTTCAGGGATGAATGTGTTTATTAGAGGGTTCATCATTCACAGCTGTTTCACACAAACAAGTTGAAAATTTCATGGTGAGAGATTCCAGTCATACAGGGATGTAGCACAGAGCCTAAGTCGACACAGCAACTAATCACCATTGCCAGGCTGAAAAATACAATAAAACCCGCTGGTTTTACTGGTTTCGGCAAAACCTACGCTGATATTTCGTGGTGCATTTTATATTGTATGGAGCAGGATTCAGTTTCAGGGCTGAAACAATAGCCACGTTTACATGCAGCCTAATAATCCGTCAATAATCCAACTAACAGCTCAATCAGAATAAAACACATCCATGTAAACACCTCAGTTGGAATAGTCTAGTCCGATTGAAACCATTTTGAATACAAGTTCTATCCGATCAAATGAGGTGGGTAATCCTGTAAATAATCCATTAAATAGAAGAATAATATCCATGTAAACGCCTGTATCTGATTACATTCCCTATCAGAAAGTTTAAGTCCGTTCTGATCATGTTCGTCACGTCATAGCGAGAGTTTATACCGTTCAACATGGCAGAGCAGAAACTGGTCTGCAGAGGAGACGAAGAAATGCTCTGATCTTTAAAAGACGGCGGTGGGACGGACGTCCAGTTTATGTGTCTCAGAACACGACGACTTCCTCTCGGCCTTCTTTAATAAGGACACGTGAAGGACGTTTCCCTGAGTCTGACATCATTTTAAAGTAATTAAAAACACAAGCGCTGCTCACTGCTGCTCATCTCACTCTGACTGGACTCACATGATGTTCGCTGTCATGGTAACGTCTACACATACTCAACATACACCGATCAGGCATAACATTATGAGCACCTCCTTGTTTCTACGATCATTGTCCATTTTATCAGCTCCACTTACTATATAGGTGCACTTTGTAGTTCTACAGTTACAGACTGTAGTCCATCTGTTTCTCAGATACTTTGTTAGCCCCCTTTTACCCTGTTCTTCAGTGGTCAGGACCCCCATGGACCCCCATAGAGCAGGTATTATTTGGGTGGTGGATCATTCTCAGCACTGCAGTAACACGGACGTGGTGGTGGTGTGTTAGTGTGTGTTGCACTGGTCTGAGTGGATCAGACACAGCAGTGCTGCTGGAGTTTTTAAACACCTCAGTGTCACTGCTGGACTGAGAATAGTCCACCAACCAAAAATATCCAGCCAACAGCGTCCTGTGGGCAGCGTCCTGTGACCCCTGATGAAGGACTAGAGGGTGACCAACACAAACTGTGCAGCAGCAGATGAGCTATCGTCTCTAACTTTACATCTACAAGGTGGACTGACAAGGTAGGAGTGTCTAATAGAGTGGACAGTGAGTGGACACAGTGTTTAAAAACTCCAGCAGCACTGCTGTGACAATGGACAATGAGCATAGAAACAAGGAGGTGGTCATAATGTTACGCCTGATCGGTGTATGTGCATAATTTTGGATCGGATTACTTGTACGCAGAGATTTTCCATCAGACTGTTGAGTAGAGTGAGCATAAACACCTCAGTCTTAATCTATAATCAGAACGTATTCAATCGATATTTTCATTATTTAACGGGCCCATTTCTCTTGCATTTGATTTTTCCCCCTGATATCCACATATGTGTGGTTTTATGTACCAAAAACAGTCTTAATTTATTTTCCAACCTCTCTTTATCCCTTAGAATCAAACATGCTGTTTTTATTACTGTGCCTTTAAGACGGATAATTGGAAACGACCTCTCTTCTCACTGGCTGCACTGCATTGTGCCTCAATCAAAAAGCAATCAAGGCTGAAAAAACCCTGACTATTTTACTGTGAATGAGTGGGGCTCAACTGATGTAGGTGGATATATGTAAAATATTTATTTTTACAGGACAGCACAAAAACAGTGACTTCAAAATGGCTTGGTTTCGCAGCTCAGATTCCATCTTTCGACCATACGGACGAGGGAGTGAACAATATGTTTTGAAACTTCAACAATGTTTCCAGACTACATCAAACTCTTTTATTCCAGAAGAGTGAGGGAATCTGGCACAGAGTCTGGGTTTTAGAGCTTCAGCTGTGAGTCAGGAAACTTTTTTTTTCTGCATCTTTGAGAATGATAACTTTTTCATTGTTGCTACTCAATGAATCCACTTTTTCTTTCCTCTTCGTCTTTTTCAAACGAAAAAAATGAAGCCTATCGGAGCGAACGTTTCAATCCGTTAAAACAACATGTCGGCTTTATCAATAATAAAAATTGACACTGTGTAAAAAGACCTCAGGACTGATCGTTAAACTAACATTAAGAAAGAAAAATCCTGTTTCCGATGCCGTTTTCTCCTCACAGGAGACTCACTGCTGTATATCTGTAAATGAGGTAAAACCAGGACTGGAGATTCATATCATGGATCAGAGCTTAGAACAACGCTTAAAAAGTGGAAAGAAAATAACACAACACTTTTTTATTGATTTCATGGCTGCTGTCGATAATTAGCGATCAATCGGTAAGTCACCTCAGCTGTATTCATCTTAAAAACATTGGTAAACTGACCTGTGCACTTGTATCAGAACACAGGCCGAACTCATAAATATGAAGACAAAACATGTAAAATGAATTCAGTCTAAACCTTTAGCATGAGGACATGTTACAACCTCGCTTTTGAGAGAATGTGTGAAAACTGACACACACGAACAAAACCAGAATTCTGGGAAGCACTGTGTTCTTGAGATAACAAGTTAATTATGTTGTGATTCCAAGATAACAACTTTTTATGTAGAGATCAGAAGATAATTAACTCGTTATCTCAAGATAACTTTTGTTATCTCGCAATAACAAGATAACTAACTTGTTATTTCTTATTCTTTTATAATTTAGATAAATAACTTATCTCAAGCAACAACTTTTGTTATCTCGAGATAACAAAATAACTAACTCGATATTTCTTGTTTAATTTATTTCTTAACTAATTATATAATTGTTATCTCAAGATACCAATGCAGTAAATTATGACTGCCTCATGGACTCTCTGGGCTTCCGTACCTTAGAGTGCAGTGACAGCGAGTGTGTTTACATGCATTTAATAATCCAATAACTGAAGAAAATCAGATTTTGTCAGTAATCCGATTAACACGTTTATATGCACTTGAGTAATCAGATAATTGGGAAACTCCAGGTCTACATGAGTCAGGCAGTAATCAGATTTATAAACTCACAGAAGAAGTCTCGAACATAATGTAAAACTCAAACTTCATACCTTGGCTTTTTTAAACATCGCACCACTTTACCTGAAAATATGAACATCATCTAGAAGACGAAGAATATTTACATACTTTAATTTGTCAAGCATGTAGTCGGTTTCAGTGTCGCTCCAAAAGTGTTTTGCTGCGTCTCGCGGCGACGCTGCTCGCTTATTTATGGTACAGCAGTCTGCTTTCGCACAGCTCAGACAGAGAAACCCGAAAGAAATCAGAGTATAGTGTTTACATGACCATTTGAATAATCGGATAACTGCGGAAATCCGATTATGATTGGATTATTGAGTGCATGTACACACACTCACTGATTCCTCTGATTTCAGTCTTCTAAGGGGGTGTTCAAACGAACATGAAGTACATTCCGTGCCTAAAAAGAAACGGCGTACACTTCTTAATGGGTGAATTAAGCGCATATGATTGACAAATAAGTAAACAGAAAGCAGTTTGAGAGAATATTTGAGACAGAGACGAGCCATAAACATTTTAAAAACATCTTATAAAAACATACACTGAAAACTCTTTTTTCAAATTAGGTTTGAGTTCATCTTCGTGTTGAGTTCCTGTACAGCTTTTGGTGTTTATCAGCCAAAACTAGCTTTCCTTGGGGACTAGAACGAGGGCGTTCTCCATACTGACCACTCAGCTGTGATGATGTATCATGCTTTTAGTGGCACACAGTGGAAAAGCTGGCAGGGTTTTCAACATAAGTACATGATTTAAAACCGCTAGAGGGTAGAGGAGTGTTTTCAGTCGTTGCTCCGCAGACGACAATGATAAGAAGCGCTTGAGAGAGTCTGAAAAGGCGTCTAAACGCCCCTTAAAGCAGTTTTGCTCAACTCCAGTCTTCCAGCATCAGCAGTACATGTATTAGACGCAGCCCAGTGAAAATCACACCTGATTATCATCAAGCCTCATTTTAGGCGAGTCAGGATTTTTTCCTGCAGTTAAGACAAATAATGCTGGCACCCTCAAGGGCTTCGGTTAAGACACACCGTTTAAACTACATCCGTGCAGTGCACTATTCTTTAATTACACAGTGAATTTCAACACGAAAGCCACGTTAATAATCCAACTAATAGCCCAATCGTAATACAATGCGTCAAATAAACACCTCAATCTGAATAGACTAGACCAATTGAGGCCATTCGGAATAGTTTCTGTCCGAGTGATCGAGGTGGGTAATCCTGTAAGTAACCTGTTAAATAGAATAATATCCATGTAAACGTCTGTATCTGATTACATTCCCTATCGGAATGTTTGTCACGTCATAGTGAAAGTTTATACCGTTCAACATGGCGAAGCAGAAACTGGTCTGCAGAGGAGACGAAGTTTATGCTCTGGTCTTTAAAAGACGGCGGTGGGACGGACGTCCAGCTTATGTGTCTCAGAACACGACGTCTTCCTCTCAGCCTTCTTTAATAAGGACATGTGAAGGACGTTTTCCTGAGTCTGACATCATTTTAAAGCAACTAAAAACACAAGCGCTGCTCACTGCTGCTCGTCTCACTCTGACTGGACTCATGATAATCAGATAACTGAAGAAAATCAGATTTTTTAAGTAATCCGATCAACACGTTTACATTACCTTGAGTAATCCGATAACAGGTCTAAATGAGTCAGACAGTAATCAGATTTCTGCTTTGCAACCAGCCAATAAACTCACAGAAAAAGATGTGACATAAACGTAACGTAAAACTCAAACTTAATACAGCAGCTTGTTTAAACAT